TTCTGCTCATCTTTTAAGATTGAAGATAAATGTCACTTTGATGGGCAACCCTGCTCTCATAACCCCCTCCACCTTTCTCCCACCACTAAAAAAAAAAAAAAAAAAAAAAAAAAAAAAAATTCAGCTCCTCCTGCCATTGTCCTATTGCACTTCCCACATTTCTCTGGTACAGTCACACCTTACTGTAAACTTGTGCTTAATGAAGTCTCCACTTAGTGGTGCTTTACTTCTCTTTTGTCATTTGTATTGTTGTTGTTATGTGCAGTGGAGTCATCTCCAATTCATAGCCACCCCTCCTTGGGTTTCTAAGGTGGTATCTCTACTGAAGTAGATTGCCCAATCTTCCTTCCGAAGAGTAGCTGGTGGGTTTGAACCACCAACCTTCTGGTTAGCAGTCAAGTGCCTTGGGCACTATGTCACCAGAGCTACTCTGGTATTGTAGTAGACTTAAATGAAATACTTGATAATTGTTTGTTGGGTAGAGATTACAGTCATAGTTTATTCAGGGTACTCATCAGTGTTTTGACTCAATCAGCTGCTCTTTAAAAAGTTGATTGAAAAGCAAAATCTTTTAGTACTAAACAATTTCCAAAAATTAAATGTGTTGTTTCTGATACATTCTAATGTATTTTCTACCTTTCCATCCCATTTGTATCTCTTAGTACAATCTATATTTTCTGATGGTAGGCTCACCAAAATTACTTAAGTCTATCTTTACTGTGAGTGTGTGTGTGTACTGTGAGTGCATGTGTGAGAGAAAGAGAGAGAGGGAGAGAGAAATCACTGAGCAGTGATATGACTGAATGATGGACTATTAGTGGGAGAAAGAGAACCACTGTGTTGGAAATGGAAGGCATTTAACAATAATCTAATCTAAACCCCATCTCTCCCTTCAGCCTACCCCTAGCCCCACCTATCCATTTTGAGAGATAAGGAAACTTGGTTGCTGGGGAACAAAATTAGCATCTGAGCTAGAATTGAATTCCATAGCTCCTAAGTCTAATGCAGTATTTCTGAATCTCGCCACTACTGACATTATGGGCTGAATAATTCTTTGTTAAGGGGAACTACCCTTTGTATTGTAGAATGTTTATTGGTAACACTGGCTTCTTCCCAGTAGATGTCAGGAGCACTTTCCAGTTTTGACAATCAAAATGTCTCAATGCAAAAAGATATTGCAAAACACTGGCAAAATTGTCCCTGGCTGAGACCCACTGGCCTGATGTATTTTCCATATCTACAACACATTGTCCTCTCCTCCCCTATTAGTCACAATTTGGATAATTAATGTTTGAGTTATTAAGACAAATAATATTAATGATAGGCTAGATGCAAACATAAAACCAATTCTTGCGTTAAAAAAATATATAGCTTAACACTTTTAATTGTGGTTTTTGGCTCCATTTGGAGCATTTATACTTTCTTCAATCATTGCGTTGCTGATTACCTTTATTATTATAACTCTGATCTCTAGGCTCTCGTAACACTGAATTATTTTTTGTCTTTTTTTTTCCCATTTTTTTTTTTCTCTTTCCTTGGCCATTTCTGTCTACTTTCTACCACCTTTTCCAAAAATTATATTATTTCCCATTTCATACTATTTCCTTGGGAATATTTGAATGGTTCTCATGTTTCATCTTCCTTCTGTGGAGCAGCTGGTGGGTTTGAACCACCAACCTTCTGGTTACCAGTCAAATGCTTTAGGCACTGTGCCACCAGATCTCCCCATGTCTTAAAGGTCTTATCTCCTCATACCAAACCAAAAAACCAAACTCACTGCTGTTGAGTCAGATCTGACTCATAGCGACCCCTCCTTGGATTTCTGAGGCAGTATCACTATGGCAGTAGATTGCCCTTCTTTCCAAGGAGTGGCTGGTGGGTATCTTCATTAAAACAAACAAACAAACAAAATGACTGCCATCGAGCCTATTCCAATTTATAGCTACCTTATAGGACAGAATAGAACTGCTCCATAGGGATTCCAAAACTATTAATCTTTACAGAAACAGGCTGCTGCATCTTTCTCCCATGGAGCAGCTGGTAAGTTTGAACCAATGACCTTTTGGTTAGCAGCCAAATGCCTTTACCACTGTACCACCAGAGCTCCATTCTTATCTTCATATGATGTTCAAATCATCTTCATTAACTCTATTCTTATTCTTTTTCTCATATGTCTATTCCCAACTACTTCACGAATATAAATAGGTAATAAGTGAGGATCAAAATAAAATTCATTTATTCATTATGTCCTCCCTTCATACCTAATAACAGCACATGCCAGTGACAAACCTACTGTCCTATTTTCTTTTTCAATGGCACCATCTTCTTTGGTGTTTTCTGACCAAAAACTTACCATCATCTAAAAATTTTCTCCTCTTCTTACCACCCACAAGAGTATAGGCCCATTCACTGTATTTAGGGCAGGAACTATGTCTTATTCACTCGATTTTCTTTTAGCACCTTATATTTTGACTCATCGATTCTTGATTTAAAAGTTTCAAGTGTTGTCTAATAACCAAAATATATGAGCACTTTGAAATGTGATTTATAAAATATTACCAAAATTGAAGAGTATAATTTAATGTCTGTGAATTAAAAAAGGATAGCAACTCTTTCATGACGTGCAGGACATATCGCGCCTACCTACATTTCCCTCCCCTGGGGCTTATTGGGTCGCTGCTTTCCCATCGACAATGCATGCAGCTTCCAGGAAGGGATCTGTATCACTGAAATGGAAGAAATGGATGTATACCAAATTACTGATGTTAACAGGGTATTGCGTGAGGTGATGCATGCTAGAAGTGTGGTTTTGCAAAACTTTTGTCTCTTTTGGCTTTTTTACTGGAAGATAAGCCTTGTAAGTATATTTCCACGTTCCTATGCATTATTTGGGAGTTCTGGTAGCCTAGTGCCTAGGGCACTTGACTGCTAACCAGAAGGCTGGGGGTTCAAACCCACAAGCCACTAGTGGTAAGGAAGGTTGAGCATTCTACTTCTGTAGTGATACCACCTCGGAAACCCAAGGAGGGGTTGTTATAATGTGGATTTGACTTCACAGCAGTGAGTTTGGTTTTTGATTTATGCATTATTTGGGAGTTCTGGTGGTGTAGTGCCTAAGGCATTTGACCTTTAACCAGAAGGCTGGTGGTTCAAACCCACCAGCCACTCCTTGGAAGGAAGGTTGGGCAACCTTGGAAGGAAGATTGGACAATCTACTTCCATAGAGATACTGCCTCAGAAACACAGAGGGGTTGCTAAGAGTTGGAAATGACTTGACGGCAGTGAGATTGGTTTTTCGTTTTTTTTTTGGTGCATTATATGGAAGCTGCTTTTCTTAGAATCCATGTTTGTATGAATACCATTGCCTCAGAAATCCAAGAAGGGGTCGCTATGGGGGGTCCGACTTGACGACACATAACAACAAAACAGCTGGTATATATCTGTCAAGGGCTCTAGAAGGCAGTGCAGAGTCCAGAGGGATATATATGTTTCCCACTACTACTACCCACCCACAAGGCTAGAGGGATATATCTGTTTCACATAATTTTAGCTTCACAGTCAAGAGTAACAAGTATGCCCCCACATAATTGTACTCCAGGGCCCAGAAGGACATATATGTCCCACATAATATATATCATATCCATATTTTATAACAAAGTTTCAGAAATACTCGATTCAGCATGCCTTCCATTAATGAAAACACATGGTATCAACAAAAAATTCAAAGCAGAAAATAAATGAGTCATGAAAGGGTTAAATCATTTCTTGCTATTTGACAAGGAAGATTCTATGGATATCTCTTAAAAGTTAAAAGAAACACTTATTTGTAATCCTTTATTATGTCAACCTCTGGTTTCGTGCTGTTTATCTCAGATAGTTGTAGCTGATTTTTGCATTCATCTTTTAATGAAAGTTAACGATGAAAAATTGTGGGAAGAGAAATGATTACTAATAGAATGCAAATTTTTTTCTACACATGTTTATATTATTCTCTGGAAAGTAGGCAGTTACTACAAATTTCTGATGCAAGTCCTCAGTATATGATGTGATAAGGAACTGGCAGTTATTTTAACCAGGTGAAGCAAGATTTTATCTAAAAGTGAAATTTAATTTTGAACAAAAAGACACCTGAAAAAGGTGAAGGCATAGTCACCTCTTGAAAGTACACAAGAGCTAACAAGGCTATTATGTTATAAACAAATCCTTGAATTATAGACATTCATGGAAAAAGGAAGAAAACTAACAGTTCATGAGTAAGTTGGCATGTGACCACAGCAAAAGTGTGAACAAAGCGGATTTTGCTACCTGTTTGGGCTGGACAAATCCTATGATTCATTGTGAGTTTGCTGTTCTGATCTGAATATTTTAAAAGGTTAAATTGGGATCCCCACAACTTAACAGTACTCTTCCCACTTCCTCCCCATATTTACCATTTCTATTCTTTCTTCTTTCCTTTTGCTTCCTGCCTTCTAAGCTTTACCCCTGGGCAAATGCTACCCTTTGGGTCTCCTATGATTGGTTCTTCTAATGGAGCTTGCAATGAATGTCACAATCAAAATGTGTATGAATTGTTGATTGAAAAACCAGTTTTCTCTGTAAACTTTCACCCAAATCACTATATATATATATATATATATATATATATATTTAAAAGTTTATATTGGTAAAAATAAGATGCATTCCCTTCATTCTGTAACATATCTCATATTATTGTGGGGCATTTTTATTTGCTTAGTTGTTTTCCAGGAGAACTATTTATTCCTCAGAGTTGCAATTGATTGGCTGATTTGGCTAGGTCTGCCCAGGACTAATCTCAGCATCCCCTGTGTCAACCTCCTTCTAGATAAGCCCCTCACTGTGACCACTAAGAAGCAAGGTCTAAAGATATTATGTGCAATAAATAAAGACTTTTTCTACACCTGGCATTCTGTCTAACTATTGGGCAAGCCCTTCTTAGTGCCCCAGGGCCCACGATATTTAGTGCTACCCCCATTCCGGTGATGGTACGCACCCTCTCCTACGCGCTGTCCCCAACATTGTGTAAAGGGTGTAGGCTTGGCCCTGACTCATAGGGAAGAGGTGATTTGTATCCTGTGAGTCACAGGCACCACTTCCTGCTGGCACACTTGAGATTTCACTGAAATACAACCTCTGAAAGGTGAAGGTACAGAGATGAATAGGTTAGCTTCAGATTCCTAAAGCCCATTTGAAAATTTGTCAGAAATAATGGGCTCTAAAGGGATTGTGAGTTTTATGGCAACATGGGAATAGAAGTTCCAAAAGTCAATTTTCAGTTTACAGGTCAATCTCCCTCATATTGCCTTGCACAGAATTCTTCTGTATCTTAGTTACTGTTGTAGAACTTGCTACCAGTTCTGTTTTTTGACACATTGACATTATCCAAATTCTTCTGGTTCATAGTGAATTATTGTCATAGCACAGACCTCAGATATAATGTTTGCAGTTGGATTTGAGCAGAGAGACCATTCAAATGTTCAAATAACACTAAAGACACACAAAGATGGAAAGATTAAGGGAAGGTGTGAATATGACCTTAGCATCTATTCCATCTCTGTCTGACTTTATAATTCTGAGTTCTGATTAAGGATAATAACCAAAAGCAAACCAAACTCACTGCCCTCAGGTTGGACCCAACTCATAGCTTGGGTTTCCAAGGTGGTATCACTATGGAAGTAGATTGCCCAATCTTCTTTCCGAAGAGTGGCTGGTGGATTTGAACTGCCAACCTTCTGGTTAGCAGTCAAATGCCTTAGGCAATACAAATAGGGTGGTGGATATCAGAATCTTCCAATGGTGGACTTTTTCAATCTTCTGATCACCTCCAGTGACTCCTCTACCCTTTTGCAAGGGCCTGGGACAGAGACAAGGTAGAGAGCAGCTTGAGAACCAAGATTTTAAAGCAATCGAACTGTGCATATGGAAATACAATTCAGAACAAATTTTACTGTTCTATTGACTCCATGCATCTGTTTAAATACTTTGAGAAGAACACTTAAAATTATTTGCAATTTCATCTGTAAAATACTCAGCTTCTGGATTAATGCAACAAGTCTCATAGAAACCATCCTGAGTGATGGACTGTGTCCAAAGGAGAGTCACAGGTAAAGAAAACCCAGTTTTTGTGGAGGCACGCCCTAGAGTGAGCATTCTTTAATTAACAAAGACAAATATTTCACCTGTAGCCTGAACAACTAAGACAAGTTTCCAACAGTGGAAAATCCAATAACCGCTAAAAATTTAAACAACAACAAAAAGACAAAGAAGAAACACCTCAAAAGAATTACCTAGATTCTATAATAGTTAAATGATTTCAAACAGAAAGAGGCTTGACTCTGGCTTCTGTAAAGCATAGACACATAGCTTTAAATGTGTTTTTTTCATCAAGGTTGATTCTTTTCTAGTGGGAGAGTTGATAATATTTCCTCAAAGCTTTCCTCAACTGAAAAAGCATGGAGGAACCAGAATACCAAGGATGCAAAATATGTGGTTATTACTTCAGTTTGTATTTGAGAAGATGATATAAGTTAAGGAGTCCTTGAGTGTTACAAGCAGTTAATATGCTGGGCTGCAAATTGAATGGTTGAAGGCTTGAGTCCACCAACAGGTGCCTAGGAAGAGAGACCTGGTGATTTACCTTGAAAATTTCAGCCATTGAAAACCCCATGAAACAATTCTACACCAACACATGGGGTTGCTATGAGTCAAAGCTGACTGGCCACAACTGTTTTTCGCATAAGTTAAAGGGTTTAATTATTCAGTATTGAAATGCATGGCAAAATTTGATTGAAAAGAGAAAAAACTGGCTTGGATGAGACTATAGCTCATCTATAAAAAAGCTATATGTAAAATAGTCTTTTTTGAGTTATGTTCAATTGATAGATAAAATAAAGAATTTAGCCATTTCTTTGTCTTTTAAGAAAGATGATTTTATATATGTATATATATATAAGAGGGACTCAAACAGCATTTATACTGCAGGAGAAACACGGACTGTGGTGGAGATTGTTGTAAACCTTGAAAGAAAGTAGTATCTTCAAATCACTGAATGATTATCAGACTTTATGTCAAAAGTAGATTCCTAATTCTTGTCTCCAGTGGCTATTAGATGTGTGATTTTTGACAAGACATTTCATTTAATGTTACTCAGATTGTATTATAAGTGCTGCATTTAAACCATTATAAAAATATAAACTATGATGCTGATGTGTAATTTAGTTTTTTTGCACCCAAAGAATACACAATCTGCTTCACAGCCTCCTCTGATTGCAAATAAAATAAAATAAAATCTTTATATTACGTGAATTAAATAATCCTTTAAAATAGTAAATTACAAATAAACAAATAATTTTGTTACAGGGCAGTAGAGGGCACTACCCACACGTACTGTTAAAACTAGAGACTAGAAATTGTGCCTAAGGCACTTGACTGCTAACCAGAAGGCTGGCTGTTCAAACTCATCAGCCACTCCTCGGAAGGAAGACTGGGCAATCTACTTCCGTAGAGATACTGCCTCGGAAACTCAAGGAGGGGTCGCTATGAGTCGGATCCGACTCCACGGCAGTGAGTTTGAGAAGCTGAAGTATTACACAGATGGAGTGTTAAGGGATTTTTATGGACAGCCTCTTGTATGTCAGACACTTCAGAAAAAGACCATTTTGTTTGTTTCCCAAAAACGCTGTAAGGTAGGAAAGGTCAAGACACTGGGAAGTTAAAACATCATGAAAGAATTAAATGAACTAATACAGACAAAGCAGATATAACCTTGCTTGGCACCTGATAAAGTGTTCAAGAAATATTGGTTGCTGCTAACTACAACTGCCACCACCACCACCACTCTTAATATTTAGTGTATAACAGTTACCTTTTTTGTTCTACAGCGGTGAGTTTTTTTTTTTTTTTTTTTAATTCATATGGAGTGGAAAGAGTAGTTGAGGTGCACATAGTGGACTCTTAAACAGAAGATAGACTCTCTTATGTAAACTTGCGTGCAATTAAAAAGACTTTTCTTATCATGCTCTCTGTGTAATTCAGAAACTACTTGAGTCATTCTGATGCCTGTTTTTCAACATTTATCTTTTCATTGGAGATAAGTGATGAAACACCTTGCTCAGACTCTGTGTGTTTACAGAAACTGGATTCTCAACCTCAATGTGGTTCATTGAGCTTGTGCGTTTCTTCTCATATCAGATAAGATATTCTGGTTTTACCTAGATTACATTTTATTAATCAAAATCTATTTTAGTGTGTAATACGATACAAAGAGTAACTTAGGCCTTAATCAACTAATGAATGAATCTTAGGTTGAACTTTCTGTTTAGTTGTTACCTTGAGTGGAACTTGATTTTTATTTATTTATTTTTTTGTGATGAAGTCTGCCTTGGAATATCACTCTGAACTGATCATTTAAGGGAAAACAGCAAAATCAGATCTTCAGAAAGATAACTTCGAGGCACTGAGAAAAGATCAAATTTGTAACTATGGCTATAATGTCAATGTTTTTATATTTGGACTGAGGAACTAGGGATTCGTTTATTTACTATTATACATCCATTTCCATTAATTCTTTTCTCTTACAGATTTGATGGATTTAAATCCTTCAAACAATTAAAAGCAAATCTATAAATACTGCAGCTATGTACAAATATGATCAAGGTTTCTTTTCTGGAAATATTAATGATATATTTGATTTTCCTCCACAAATAGGTTTCCATCTTCTCCAAGCAGTTCTAAGTACAACTGTGATCCCATCATGCATCCCAGGAGAATCTGATGATAACTGTACAGCTTTAGGTAAGCCCAATTTTGTCAATGTTGTATCAAAGGACTGTGTTGTTGTTATGTGTTGTCAAGTTGTCTCTGACTCATAGCGACCGCTCCTTGGGTTTCTGAAGCAGTATCACTATGAAAATAGATTGCCCAATCTTCCTTCTGAAGAGTGGCTAGTGGGTTTGAACTGTCAACCTTCTGGTTAGCAGTCAAGTGCCTTAGGCATATAGCACTATAAACTCAATGCCCATTAATACGTGCCACTTGAAAAAAGAAAAAGGGAAAACTAGCCATGATAATAATGAAGGTTTTTTTTTTTTTTTTAACTCCCTCATTCCTATTGAGGACTAGGGAAATTATGTAAGGGAAAAACTAGTGGGAGATGGACCAGGCATATACAAAAATTCAATCTTAGACAGAGAACCAATAAAGTGAGATTCCATTTGGCCATTCATTGGAGTCTTGCTGTGACACAAACTTTCAATATCACACAGATGGGCTGGATCTAAGGCAGGAATATGTAAACTTGTACAGTGCTCTTTTTTTTTTTTATTGATAAGAAGAAATAATAATTTCTTTTTTTCCCAGTCACACTGTTTGTTCAAAAAATAGAGTACTTAATACAAGCTAGACATCATCGTTAGGCACAGTGGCTATAGAGGTAACTAAGACACAGACTTTTCTTCCTCAAGGACCCCTAAGCAAGCAAGAGTTGCTGTCAAATCAATTCCAATTCTTGGTGACCCCATGTGTTTCAGAGCAAAACTCCTCCCTTGGGTTTTCGATGGCTGTGATTTTTCAGAAGTAGACTTCTTCTTCTAAGGCACCCCTGGGTAGATTTGAACCACCTTCAAGGATCACCAGTGAACTATAAATGTGTTCTGAGGAAGATTGGCTTCATATTTAATTGAGCTACTGAATAAAAGGCTATCTTGAGGAACTAGGATATTTTCCATAACAACTTCACCTTGTCTCTTCCTCACTAGACTCTTTGAAGGTTTTGTCTACCCCTTCTACTCCCTCCTCCTGCTTTTTTTCTTTGTTTGTTTTTGTTGTTATTTCAGCAAAAGTATTATAATCAAATGCCATTTTTTTGGTTACTTCACGTGCATCCTTCATATTTTAGTAGCTAAAACATTCTAAAGTAAAATTTAAACGTAGATTACAACAGTTCCTAATGAGGTTTCTTATAATCACTGCTGCATTTGCCTGACAGAGGCATCTCTAACTCAGGGTTTGCCTTCTTCATACTGTTCATGTGTTATTACTACAGATGTTGTAGACATTGATTGACTTCTTTAATGTTAACCTCAAAAATTTGGGAATAAACAACAAAACAAATATTAGTGGTTTAAAAAATCACCATAAAATTAAGCTCTCTTGAATTAACTAATGGTTTCCACTTGTAATTGCTTTTGGAGTGAGAGTTTCAGAATTATTTTGAGGTTGGCTAAAACTAGATGTGGAAAAGTAATGAATATCTACTTTGGAGTGTAATACTTTTTGTGTGTGCCCTAAAACTTTTTTCTTCTATTCATAACAGGTGTCGGTTGAGAATTAAATTCCTCGGGGTTTATTTTGTTTTGTTGGGTCTGTTAGGCATTTTCCTTTGAGTTCAGGGGTTCATTTATTGGTCTTACCAGTTGCTGTGGAGTTAGTGCCAACTCATGGGGACCTTGTTTGTGTCAGAGCAGAACTGTGCTCCATAGGGTTTTAAATGGATGATGTTTTGGAGATAGGTTGCCAGGCCTTTCTCCCAGGGTGCCTCTGAGTGGACTCGAACCTCCAACTTTTCAGTTAGCTGCTGAGCTCCTTAACCATTTGCACTGCCCAAACTCACTGCCTTCGAGTCAGATGCCATTCATAGCCACCCCTCCTTGGGTTTCCAAGGCAGTATCACTACGGAAGTAGATTGCCCAACCTTCCTTCTGAGGTGTGGCTTTTGGGTTTGAACTGCCAGCCTTCTGGTTAGTAGTCAAATGCCTTAGACACTACTCCAACAGAGTTCCCATTTGCACTACCCAGGGACTCCTTATTGGTCCAGGGAGTGTGATAACTTGAGTGACTTTGTATTCCTGAAAACCTTCCCCAATTGATTGGCATATGACCTGCTTTCTTGAAAGTAGCTCAGTGGTTACCATTATGAAAGGGTGACTAATGCTTCAGAGGAGGGAACAGAATAGATTCAACTTTTCATTCCTTCACAGTTCAGAAAGAAAACAATCCACGGATTGCTCAGGTGTCAATAACGAAGTGTGGCTCTGACATGAATGGCTACTGTTTGCATGGACAGTGCATCTACTTGGTGGACATGAGTGAACATTACTGCAGGTACTATGCCCCCCTCCCTCAAAAAAAAAAAAAAAAAGAAAGTTTTTGAAAACCTGTAGTTTTCTTTCCCTTTTATCTTTTGAAGTCTCCTATACTTCCTTGGACTGTTAGAAAGCAGTTTTAAAGCTCTAGTAAGAACTTTATTAACTAAATGTTTAAAATGCGAGAACAAATAATTTTCAATTGTAGACATACTTCAGGGATGCAGAGAGGGGGAGAACTTCCAGTACCTCCCTACCACGTTGATGTCTCTTTTCACTAGACTACTACCTAGGCTATTGTTGAAGAATTCATCCCACTGATTTAGGCAAAAAACACCACAAACCTATGAAACTTACAAAACATTATTGTAGCTTGTTAGCCACGCTGGCAGCTGAACCAGATCTTCTTAAGACCACAGTGTATGTAGCCTGAGTGCTGTGTGGAGCTCTTTTACTGGTGTTGGCTCAGCCCTCAGGTCACTCTTTGAATTCATCCTTAGACTTTTGGTAGACTTTGCTGATTTCTTGCATTGCAGTGTGAATCTCATAAAGCTAATTCATAACCATGATTTTTTTCCCTAAATAATTAATCTTTCTCTTGCGTTTTCCTTTAGGTGTGATGTGGGATATACTGGTGTCCGATGCGAACATTTCTTTTTAACCGTCCACCAACCTTTAAGCAAAGAATACGTGGCTTTGACTGTGATTCTTATTTTCTTTTTTCTTGTCATAGTCGCAGGTTCCATATACTACTTCTGCAGATGGTAAGATAATGTTTTTTTTTTTTTATTACACTCTGCCTGTAAATTACTTTCACACAATACATCTTTCACAAAAAAAAAAGATCTGTAAATTGGGTACAAATAAGGACAAAGTGTTATTTAGGACAAAAATAGAATCTGCACTCATAATATTTACAAAGAATTCTTAGAGGCAGAATATCAGCATTTGATTCTGTTACTAGTTCTATTACTTATAGTGTGTGTAACCTTATGCAGCTCAAACTTGTACTCTCAATTCCTTCTTCTAGAAAAACAAGTATTTAAAAAGTTTCCTCTTCTTTAATTATAGGACTGTATTTAGTATTGAATATGATAGTATATGTGAAAGTAAACCATAGGCATGATGCTAATGTTATATTTAGCTGCCTGTGTTTAATTTATTAAGACCTGTATAATTTTGTATTCTACCACTTGTCTATCAGTTTGTCATACTGTGGTGGCTTGCATGTTGCTCTGAAAAGCTATGCCACCTTCATTTCAAATACCGGCAAGATCACCTATGTTGTTGTTGTTATGTGCCGTCGAGTTGGCCCCGACTCATAGCGACCCCTCCTTGGGTTTCTGAGGCAGTATCACTATGGAAGTAGGATTGCCCAACCTTCCTTCTGAGGAGTGGCTGGTGGGTTTATAGTGAACAGGTTTTAGTCAACCTTTCAGACCAAGACAGATCAGGAAGAAAGGCCTGGGGATCTACTTAGAAAAATTAGCCGTAAAAACTTTATAGATAGGAAGGGGACATTGTCCAATACAGTGCTGGAAAGATTAATTCCTAGAAAGGACATTGTGTTTGATAAAACAGAAGGTCATCAAAAATGAGAGAAACCCTCGATGAGATGGATTGACACAATAGCCACAACAATGGTTCAAACATATCAAAAATCATGAAGGTGGTGCAGTATTGGGCAACATTTCATTCTGTTATATAAAAGGTTGTCTTGAGCTGCAGCTGACACAATAGCAACTAATAATAAATTTTATATTACATAAAACATGTCTTTGTAAATTAATAATCCTGGGGAGTTCAAGAACTTAAAATTTAAGGCAGAGAGTCCTGGAGTTTCAGTGGTTAAGCACTTGGGTGCTAACTGAGACAGTAGAAGTTTGAACCCACCAGCCACTCTCTGGGACAAAAACATGGTAGTTGGCTTCCATATAAATTCAGCCATCGAAATCCTATGCGGCAGTTCTACTCTGTTCTATATGGTTGCTATGAATTGGAATCGACTCCGTGGCACACCATAACAAAAATCGTAGACGATTATAAAATTTACTTTTTAAAAATGGTTAATGCCATACCCCTCACAGTCATCTCCCATCCTCATGTGCAATCGTGTCACTATGCTAATAACTGGAAAAAAAAAAAAAATAGAGTGGAATTGAAACTACTGACATATTAGACTGGCAATCTCTTAGGGGTGGACTAGAGTATGGAAACAAAGTATAATTAGTTAAACACAGTTGCCTTTAAATGTCTCCATGAAATCCTTCTTATTTTGAAACTGGTGCAAATTATTCAGTGTAGATTTGAATCTTTTTTTTTTTTTTTCTCACTGGAAGTAGTGCATTTCTACTTTTGAATGTCTGAACATGTGCTGCTATTATAAGATGCTCGTGTTTGAGTCTAAACATTAATCAAATAATAACGCCTTCCTAATTAGTTAGATAATCATGAATTAGATGTAATTAAAACTGAAATATTCTTGAAAGGTGTTGGAATACAATCCTTTCCATTGTAGATGGGGAAACTGAGACCCAGACGGTACATTGATATACTTCAGGTCATATTGTTGAAAGCAGCAGAACAGAAGTATAGGCAATATGCAATTTCCTCACAGCCAAAAACTAAATTAAAAATATTGGGAACATAGCTTAAGAAATGGTAGCAATGAGCATTTTGAGTTTTGACAAATTTGTGTTTAAATCCCAGCTGTGAAATCTTGGGAGGATTACTTATCCCATTTATTCTTCACTTTCTTCATCTGTAAAATGGAAATAAATTGAGTAACACATGCATACCACTTAGAACATTGCCAGGGCCCAATAAATATTACCTATTTTAATTTTGATTACTGATAGCATTATATTAAAGTGATTGGCAGAAAACAGTAATGTAGTGTTTCCTAATATAGTGTAATCAAGACAGTAGTTCCTTAAATAGTAACAGAATGGAGAGTGTAGAAAAAGAGAAAAGAAGAGAGAGAAAACAAAGGACACGAAAAGAAAAACCCAAGCTTAAGTGTAGTTGCGTATCATTCGTGTAAACTTCACAGTATTTGTTTTCATGTTAAAATCTCTGAGAAGTCCTGCAGTCAAAAAGTTCCTTTAACTGTGTTTCAACATTTCTTTCCTATATTTCTTGACTATCGACCATATATATCCCCCCCAAACCTGAAACCCACTGCAACTAGGTCAATTCCAGCTCATAAAGACCCTATAGGACAGAGTAGAATTGTACCATAGGGTTCCCAAGTGTTCTTTATGGAAGCAAACTGTCTTATCTTTCTTCTGTGGAGCAGCTGGTGAGTTCGAACAGCTGACCTTTTGGTTAGCAGCCAAGGGCTTAAGCACTATGCCATATCCTAGCCAGCCATATCTATCTCCCTTCTTTTTATTTCTTATCTGACCTAAACCTATTCACCGTTGTCATTATGAGAACATTATGCTAATGTATCTTGTGAATCCATATATCTGCTTTTTTAGTTATTACATCTTGCTTTTATTTAAAACAGTATTAATAGTTTAATTTCTGAATGTTTCTAGGTACAGACACCGAAAAAGCAAAGAACCAAAGAAAGAATATGAAAGGGTGGCCTCAGGGGATCCAGTACTGCCACAAGTCTGAATGGTGCCATCAAGCTTATGGGCAGTGATACACAACAAGCCTGGCTAATTTGAATACTCCTACTTTATCAATGATATTTATGTTGGATCATCTATCAGGTCAACAGTGGTATATTTTTATTATACTTAGAAATGTATTTTTTAAATTTTTCTTTTATTTTGACAGACTATATGCTAATGTATAGTGTATAAAAATTATTTAATGTAGAAAGAAAGTTGATATTTTTGTAAAAAACAAGTTCCTGGGATAAATACTTTATTGAAAACTTCAAAAGTTGTATGCCTGCTTCACAGTAATTTTTGCTCAGGACTGAGCAATGCACAAGTCATTGCTCCAGAAATGTCAGCAAATGACAGATTTCTCTAAACCTAAGTATATAGTCAAACCAATTTAATAAACATACGTCTGCTACTCCTCAAGACAATAATAATTGGTTTGACTATTTCATGGTTTGATGTATTTCTTGGCACCACTGCATCATGCACTAGAAAAAGAACGCAATGAGTATTGCAGAGAGGCAAGCACAGGGCATGTGCTGAACACTACACATTTGAAACAAAGAAAGTGAGGGAATCATAGAGCTGGCACAGGACCAGGCAGTGCTTTGTTCTGTTCTACAAAAGGTTGTCATGACTTAGAGCTGACTTAATGACAAATGACAATAACACTAAGACATCAAGGAAGGCCAAGTTCCCTCCACTACCATCCTCAGCAATGACTCAATACCTGTCCGTCCAGAAGGGAAGGGTGTAGTTTTCTATTCCAACCCACAACTCCTGTTCTCTTAAAATGGATTGGAAAACTTAATTTTATAATATCTTTTATGTAAATACTGGGTATTTTATAGTTTCACAATCTTTCTTTTTTGTTTGTTTATTTTATACCACATTTTTATGTGAGATAACTGTTGCTCATGAGACAATTAGAAAAATATCCACAATTGAAACCAAATTTTGTGCTTCTTTGTAGAGAACTTATTTTCATAGGAACTTTGCTGGAAAATTCTAAAATTAAGTCACACTCCAAAATTTGATGGACTAATAAAAATTATTTTTAAATATACTTGGGATAATTGTTCTGTAATGGATGGAAATCCAGTTCTTTCATTTTCTATCCATGAGAATATTAATTTAAAATCAGCTCAGAAATTGTATATTTAAAATGATGTCCTCATGCAGAGAGTAGAAAAATAGTGAAAAAATAAATCATAACATCTTTTTTCCCAAATGAGCAAATTGAAAGCTTTTGAAGTGTAGAGACTTAGCATACCTTCTGATAAAGGCTGAGATGAAAACAGGGTCGTTGTTTTCCACTGTTTGCTTATATTTTGGAAGAGACTAAGGTTTCTTCTGTGCTCTTAGTCCACATGTCTCAGTGAATTAATAAGTGTTCTTTGGGCAACTGCAAAACCAGTCATGGCTGTCACCACCTCCTGATCACATGACAGGCTGCCTCATTGAATGATATAGCTTTGGAGAGAGTCTCTCTGGATGACATACCAGGTGAGGGAGGGCCTGTTCTTTCTCCTGGCATGTGCTAGGGCAATAAAGATAATGAATGACGGCTGACCTCTGGAGTGCCATGCAGGTGCCCACATTTACTTCCATTTTCATCCATTCATGATGTTTCCTGTGTGTTCACATGACTCTCATCCAAAGTACAGGTCTGGTCTCTTACTAGTAGGGAAACAGAATATATATATATACATATATATGTACAGAAACACACATTCTACACATGCATACACTTGTTGAGCTCAGTCAATCATAGAATTACAATGATTTGTTGTCTTATCAACCTGTATGTAAAATAAAACTTAGAAAACAAGATCAAAGAAACAGAAATACTATAAAAATCAATGGGCTCTAAAAGGATATTTTTGTAATAAAGCTGGGGTCAAATATGTTGTGTAAGAACATTTTAAATGCTACACATACTTATTGAGCACCTATTGTATGTAAAGGAAGTCTTCCTATTTTCAGTGATCTTGACTATTTCAAAGAAAATGTATTGACTGAGTACTTTACTATAATCCATTTATTTTATTTACAAAAGTGGAGTCATATTGTTCATCTTAAGCTTTTCAGTTTGTTACATAGCTAAGAGCTAGTAGTTTTGTCTGATCTGATCTTTATTTAAGAATTCTTAAGCAACTATTCCCTATAAGAGTTAACTCTTTGTTTATAAATGCATATTTAATAATAAAAGATGTGACATATATTGCTTTTTATGAGTAAAAATAAGTAAAAAGTCATTTTAATGAGGACGATGATGAACAAACACAAAAAAATAATTGCTACAAGCTCATTTTTTCCACAGATAAGGGAAAATTTTGGCTCATAATTGGACTATATTCATTATTGTACAGATTTTTCACCACATATAAGTGTGTTTGTGTATATCCACACTCATCTGTCAGTTTGTCATACTGTGGTGGCTTGTGGATTGTTGTAAGGCTGGAAGCTATGCTACTGGTATTTTAAATACCAGCAGGGTTATACATAAGTATGTGCAGCATTTAAACTGTTATATATATATATATATATATATATATATATATATATATGTATAGGGTATGTATATCTAACATGTTGAGAATAATGGCAAACTCAAATGCATAAATGCATAATTTATACTTTCTCATCAAGGCCACACAAAAATCCAGCAGACGTGCTCTATAAACAAGACATAAAGTTCTATGATTGATACTAAAGATTTAGCTTTGAAATTCAGATTTATGTAATATATTATACTTTTTTGATATAGAAACTCAACAGTTCTCTTAGTTATTTTTTTTCTCTCATCTATTTGCCAAGAGTTAGAGCAATGGGAGAAAAGAATGTGGTGCTCTGATATATGACTATGCCCTAATGCAGAGTTTTTATTTTTGAGTCCTTGAGAAGGGAGCTAATTAAATTCAACTGTCATCTGGTATCCATTTTTCTGCAGCAAATACATGATGCTAGTGTCTAATTTCTGCTAAACTCAATAATGCAGTACTTAAAACTCATAACTGATCCATATTGTCATTATTGCTTCAATGTCATTCTGCAGATTTTGAGAAACAAATGTGTTTAATTTGCTGCTCATTGTTTTCTGATATTTTCTATTCTTACTCATATGGGAGAAATGGGAGTTATAACTTGTATAAACAGTGTTTCTGGAGTACATTTTAATGTTTTAACTAAAGGATAACTATATCTAAAACATTGTTCAAATTGGATGATGTTAAATGTAAGATGGTGTATTTTTCTCTTTGCTTGTTTTTGCACTCTGTAATTGCACTTTTTAAGTTTGAAGAGCCATTTTGGTATACAATTTATATTAAAGATGCTATGGAACATAAAGTTGTATTGCATGCAGTTTAAAGTAACTTATTTGACTATGAATTTTATCAGAGTACTGAATTGTATCAATTTGTTTATGTTCAATATCAGCTTTGATAATCGTGTACCTTAAGATATTGAAGGAGAATATGGATAATTTACAAGCTATTGTTAATTTTTATTTATTTATGTTGGGAACTGGAAAGACAGCATAATTGAAAAATAAAAATTCAGTAAAAATCATGCATGAAAATCTTCACTGATAAGTAGTCTCTAAGTTATTTATTTATTTTTTCTAACAACAACAGCAACATTCATAATATATTAAAGGAATTATAAGTGACGGGGTTTATATTTAAACTCTGTTTAAATATAAAGAAGTAATGGCCTTAGTTTGGAAAATCATTAAATGAATGTATCACATTATTTCATGGCTTACCATAATGAATAATTTCTTAAATATAAAAGTCACATTATTTATAATATTCTGAGTGTTAATGTTTTTAAAAAAAATTATGAAAGAACAACTATGCTACTGAAAAGTTTTTGAAAAGACACGTCAGCCTGAGACATGTGTCTTGATTCCCTCAGGATCTGTCAATCAAGAGACTTGGCTTCCCAAGGCAGTTATAGTGAAAACATTAGTCCCTCAGAACCTCTGTCACAGTAATACCTTCCTTAGTATTCTGCTTCTACAACCTACATATAATTTTATCCATTTATTCACTTTTTGGATCCCTTCATTCACCTATGGATAGGGCAGATAGGTCTGTCTCAGATAATTTTACATGGAGAGAAAGTAATTGCTCAGGGTCGCGCTGGTAGTAAAAGGTGGAGTTGTCATGAAAAGCTAGGTCTTCTGATCTGCAAATCCACTGCAGTTATGGATATGTCAAAAACATCCAAAACCATTGTGAGGAATCAATCGGAGGTAGTTTTCTTGGGAGAAATAGAAATTCTTAGACATATAACTCACTGACATTGAGTTGATTCCAACTCAAAGCTACCCTATAGGACAGAGTACAGTTGCCCTATAGGATTTTTAAGGCAGTATTCTTTATGAGCCACCTGTCAATTTTTCATACTATGTTGCCTTGTGCATTGCTGTGATCTTGGAAGCTATACCCCAATTATTTCAAATATCAGCAAGGTCAGCCATCACGGATAGATTTCAGCAGAACTTTTAGACTAAGATAGACTAGGAAGTAGGACATGGCAATCTACTTCTGAAAAAATTGGCCAGTGAAAACCTTATGAATAGCAGTGCCAGAAAATAAGCCCATCAGGTTGGAAGGCACTAAACAATATGATAGGCACTCAAAAATTCTGACTCTTCAAAGTAGAGTCAACCTTAATGATGTAGGTGGAGTAAAACTTTAAGGACCTTCCCTTGTTAATGTGGCATGACTCAAAATGAGAAGAAACAGATGCAAAGATCTGTTACTAATTGGAACATGGACTGTATGAAGCATGAATTAGGGAAAATTGGAAGTTATAAAAAAAAATATAATGGAACACATAAAGATACATACCCTAAGCATTAGTAAGTTGAAATGGAGCGGTCTTGGCCATTTTGGATGGGACAATTACATCGTCTACTATACTAGGATGCCAAAGTAAAGAGGAATGGAATCACTTTCATTGTAAAAAGAACATTTCAAGATTTTTCCTGAA